CAACGTCCTCCACAACTAGACTGAAGAACAAAAGGACAGCAACTTGTCTGTTCCCATCCCCCAATTCCCCAATAAAAATCTTTAAAAAAAAAAAAAGTATCTTACCCTGGCATTATGTTTAAAAAAATCAAACCCCAAATGAGCCATTTTATATTTGAAATCATATTGCCAGCTGAAATTCTCACAACAACCTTATTTTAAAGGGCTCATAACATCCATATTTTTCAGATGGTATTATTACGAGTTAGAGAAAAGTAATTTTTGCAAGGTCACATATCTAATCCATGATGGGGAGCCAAGGTCACAGCCTGGCTGTGTGTGACACCAAAGCTCCTCTTCGGCTTGTGCTGCCATCCCTGATCCCACTAGAGACAGTAAGCTCCTCGAGTTCCTTCATTGTATGATACTGGATACTGAAAGACACCCCACACCCAAACATACACCAGGGCACAACACAGTCATAAGGTATTATAGGTCATTGCTTGAATGTTCTAATTAGAGTTTAGAAGAAAAATTCCAAATAATAGAAGAGTTTGTAGTTTTGAAAAATACAGGGATGATGATTTATTTAAGTATTATAGGGGAGTTTATTTATGAAAAGGGTGGAATGAATATATTCTCATTGGAGAAGGTATTAATTATGTGTGTGTGGTTTTTATCCTTTTCAGGTCAAGGAAGAAACTAACAGAGATTACAGCTTCCCAGCTGGTCTTGAAGATCATATTTTGGGGGAGAATACATCACCTAACACAAGTATCTCAGGGTTGGTCCCCTGTGAACTTACTCAGAGCAACACAAGCCTTGGCAGTAGCAGCAGCAGTGGAGATGTAGGGAAACCGCATAACCCCACAGGTATGGATAGGGAAGGGTTGTCCTCCCTTTTAATTTATATGCCTTTACCTTTCCCTCCTCCCACCTCACACACAATAAGCCTCATGTGTTGAGATGATCTGATTTTTAATATGGCCACACCACACTATCACTATTTTATATGACATATAAGTACTGCAGTCACTTACTGATTTTATTTTTAGTTGTGTATATTTGTGAATTATGTCATTAATTCTGAAACTTCAGTGTGTGTCAGAATCACCTGGGGAATTTGCTTTAAAATATATACAAGTGTCCAAGCCCTAGGCTAAAACTTTTGAGACTGAATCTGTGGGGTGGGACCTTAGAAATGTGGATTTTTAACCATCTCTCTGGGTGAATCAGATGCATACCAGAGTTTGAGAGTCTGTGGGCTGCATAACTGAAATTTCTTAGCTTTTTTGTTTTAATTATTCTATTTATGTTATCCAAATTTCTATTATGAAAATTTTCAAATGTCCCAAGAAGTTGAAAGAATTCATGTAATGATCAATCATATAGTCTCAACCTAGATTTAGTTAACTATTGGTAAATACACACACACACACACACACACACACACACACACACACAAACACACACACGTATGTATATATGTGTGTGTTTTACTTTTTTATAGTGAACAATTAGAAAATAAATTGCAGACTTCAGACTTCCCCCTAAATACTTCAGTATGCATTTCCAAAGAATAAGGACATTCTCTTATATAATATGTTATGATGGTTACTTCCCTCTAGGTGAACTTCCATTTCCAGGAGGCATAAAAGGGCAGGACTTTGAAAAATCAGACCATGGTTCTTCTCAAAATACCAGCATGTCTAGCATCTATCAGAATTGTGCAATGGAGGTAAAAATTCTGTTTCTGCCCATGATAAAGTGGCTGTAAACACATTGTATTTCAGAATGAAATTTAACAGAATTCTGTGATACCCTTATGGACAGAATAATAAAATAAATCATTTTGTTGAATTTGCTTGATGTCTTATGTAAGTAAGGCAGTAGACTGGTAGCTTTACCTATAAAGTAATTGAATTGTTAATTCCAAATGTGATCAACAAAATAAAATTCTGTGTTTGTCTGAAGAGAATGGTTTGTTAAATTTGTCACTGTGGATGTTTTCATTATCTGCACTTTTCTACTCTTAGGTTTTGATGTCAAGTTGTTCACAGTGCAGAGCTTGTGAAGCTTTAGTTTATGATGAAGAAATTATGGCTGGATGGACGGCAGATGATTCAAATTTGAATACAACCTGTCCGTTCTGTAAAAGCAACTTCTTGCCTCTTCTCAATATAGAATTTAAAGACTTGAGAGGGTCTGCAAGGTTAGTATTGTATAAGATCCCTTAAGAGGTAAGCACCCCCAAGCCAGAGGCATGACTCCTGGGGAAAGAGTGAAACATTGATGGCACGCACAGTAAGGTGTCCCTTTCCTTCTTGTCCTTCACTTGCAGTATTTGAGTAGAAAATACTAGTAATGTAGGACACTACTTTTCCGTTTTATTTCACATATGATTACCGTAGCAGTTAATTCTTGGAGCTAAGTTTTATAGATAATTCAGAACTCTAATGTAAATCATTATTTTAAATTTCCTGCCACAGTGACCTTAATTATGTCTTCTAAAAGCAAAAAAAGGAGAGGGGGCTGGAACTCTTCTTAACTTGTTGCCCCCTTATGCTAGTGCTCTGTACAGTGAAATGACCGAATTCTAAGCAATTGGAAGGAAACTTAGCTGATCTGTAATCGGTCACTAAGTAATTGTGAGTTTGGTAACTGTATGCTGACCTAGGTAATTATACTTCATCTTCTGTTTTATGAAATATCTGAACTCTCCATATTATTGTCTACCTTTAGCTGCTTTTTAAAAAATATCCAGTTGTATAGGTGTTTCCTCTGTAGTTTTCCTTTTAGCTTCAGATGTGGAGTCTAGTGAAATCATACTTGAATTCCTGACATAATATCATCAGAGGTTTGTGCAAGTGTCCTCCGTTATAATCTTTCTCCCCCTGCCCATTTCCACTCTCATTCCTTTATCCAGCAAAGACATTGTGCTGTCTGTGGTATATCCTTGAATATATATCCTTATAAAATATGTTGTTTTGTAGGATTCTCTGTTTTTTTTTTTTTATTACTCAGTTTAAAATCTATCTGAGTTGCTATATGTAAGTCTAGTTATTTCTTTTATCCTGCAGGAAGTTAATACCCCATTTTACTTATCCATTATTCTAGTGTTGGATACTTCAGTTGCTTCTAGTTCTCTGTTATTATAAGTATCACTGCAGTGATATAATACACTGTAAAATATGTCTCCGTCTGGACTTGTGAAGTAGTTTCTCTCAGAATAATAGTCTTAGGAGTGATACTACTGGGTCATTTTCATACATGATTTCAGTAAACACTGGAAGATTGCTTCCCAGATAGTTACATTCCCTCTAGTAGTGTCCAAGAATTCTCATTTCTGTACATCCTTACCAGCATTTTGTATTACCACTTTTCTGATTTTTGTTTGCATTCTAATGAGTATAAAGTAGTATCTTGTTTTTGTTTTAATTTCTCTGAATACTAATGAGTTTGAGTATCTTTTCATAGACTTGTTAATTATTCCAGCATTTTCTGTGAATTGCCTATTTGTATCCCTTGTCCATTTTTATATTAAGCTTTTTTTTCTTGTTGATCTCTGCCTTGTATATTCTTGATATTAATTCCTTGAAGAGAAAGAATTAATTTTGATGTCTTCACCATTAATTTTAAACCTTATGATTTGTGCTTTTGGAGTCTTGTTTTAAAAATGTTTACGATCTGTAGGACATGAAAACGTTCTCCTGAATGTTTTTCTGTTAGCTTTATATTTTACTTCTGATATTTAGGTCTTTAATTCCATGTATACCTCAAGTTCCCATCTACACCTCGCTCCTGTTCTTTTTGTCAGTATCATATTGTTTTTATTACTCTGTCTTTGTGTTTTGTCTGTAAGTTCCTCCCTCGTGGAATTTTTTTTTTTTTTGCTTATACTTATTTTTAAATTTATAAAATTTTAGAGTAACTTTGAATTCCTAAAAAAAAAAATCAGCTCCAGTTTTCATTGGGATTGCATTAGATTTATAGATTAATTTGGGGAAAATGGACATTTTCAACATTATTCTCTTACCTGTGAGCATGGTATGTATCTCCACTTTTTTCAAAAGTCTTTTTTCTCCTTTTAAATTATTCTGCATCAGTCTTGTACTTTTTGTTGAGTTAATTGTGTTTCGTAAGCTATTGTGGTAAATATCTTATTTTACATTTGCTAATTGGGTATAAAAGAGCATTATCAGTTTTCCTCCCTAATGTCATTATGGAAGATTTTAAACTTCCAGTCAAGTTTAAAGATTTTTTTTACAGTGACACCCGAATATCCACCCCTACATTCTACAGTTAACATTTTACTGTACTTGCTTTATTACCTATTTACCCCTCAATCAATCCACCAATTTATCTAATATTTTTATTCATTTAAAATAAGATGTAGACATTAATACATGCGTCCCCCAAATACTTCAGCATGTTTTGGGTTGTTGGAAAAGTAATGATGAAGTTTTGCAATGAAAAACAGAAAAAAATATGTCATGACTTCTCCGACAACCCAATATATCATTAACTAGAGTTCAGTATTTGTTTAATTGTTGTTTTTTTTTTAAGGTTAAAGTTGGTATACAATAAAATATACAAATCTCAAATGTACCATTTAAAGAGTGAATGCATACATTTGTGCAAATTCAAACCCTTGTCAAGATATAGAACATTATTATTACCTCAGAAAGTTTTCTTTAATGTCCCTTGCAAGGCCCAACACTCACACCGTCCCACCCAGAAGTAGGAGAGAGATAAGATGAAAATAAAATATTGAATGAATAGATGGGAGAGGAAATGACTAGAGACAAAATGGAGATTTTATAAGAGGGGAAAAAGAGGTATTAATACATGTTAAAATGCTGCTGTTGCTGCTCTTTTTTAACTAGAAAATTAATGAAAAATTTTGCTTTTCATCGTCCTTTATAGCTTTCCTTAATGGTTCTCAGAAATTGAAGGGATCTTATATTGAACTATAATGAACTTCCTGTAGACCTTTTCAATTGAACAGTTTAGGATAGGAACAAAAGAGAAAATGAAAGCAGTGTGTGTGTGTGTGTGTGTGTGTGTGTGTGTGTGTGTGTGTGTGAGAGAGAGAGAGAGAGAGAGAGAGAGCGAGAGAGCGAGCGAGCGCGAGATTGAAATAGGCAGTATTTCTATGGATTGTATAGTTCATTAAGGACTGATTTAATATAAAGTGATTCTAAATATGAAATTTAGAGGACTCTAGGATACTTAAAGACTTTTTTCTTTTTTTTTTGGACTGCTTCATATTTAGCTTCTTCCTGAAACCAGCTACCTCTGGTGACAGTTTACAAAGTGGCAGCATTCCATTGGCAAGTGAACCTTTGGAGCACAAACCTGTATCCAGTTCAGCAGAACCTGACTTGATCAACTTTATGGATTTCCCCAAGCATAACCAGACCATAACTGAAGAAACAAACTCTGCAGCGGAACCAAGGTATTGTAGGGGTATAGAGAACTCCTCATAATAAATTGGATATCCTTGTAAAAAATTCTATCTTTAAAGGTAACCTGACTCATGTATGTATAAGTTCTAGCATTTTAAAAATTTAATCTTTTTACTATATTGTTTAAATACCTAATGAATGAATCTGATGAATAACTATTTTGTAAACTATGTTTAATGTTTTTCAGTGTCTTACAAAATTAACTTCTCAGCCAGTAAATCTGTTTTCCCCTTTCGTGTAGACATTGCCAGTTTCCAAAGACATATTCTCTTTACTGTGAGGTATATTTAATTTATTTAATCAAACATTTATTGAAAGCCTATTGAATGCTCAGCATTATGCTAAACACTAAACACATAATAAAAAAGGATGATCTGGTCTCCATCCGTTGGTGGATCATGGCCTGGTAGAGATGAATCTATTTACTTTTAGGTGGTTTTGTTTAATAAAGATGAAATAATGTTTGAATAAAACAACTGAAGGCAATTCATCTTTTTAAAATAAAACCTGATATGTCCTCTTCCCACCCTTTACCAGAGTCATCCACTCTATCCTGTTATTCTGACCAGTTTTACAAAACTTGCTGAAGAAAATTTTATTCTTATAAGGCAGTATTGACTCCTCTCAGATATATTCAGTAGACTCAAAATTTATTGTAGAAAATACTGTAACTCTACAGATCTAGATTGTTTTATAGAATAGACATAACATTTCTTCTTTATTTTTTTAAAGTGACGAAATAAAGAAAGCCAGTGAAGATGTCCAAACTATGAAAATTTCACCTGTGCCTAATAGTGTAGCAAAGCGGAACGTGTCTTTGACTCGAAGTCACAGTGTTGGCGGTCCCTTGCAAAACATTGACTTTTCCCAGCGACCGTGTCCTGGCATTTCAACAGTTAGCCTTCCAAACAGTCTGCAGGAAGTTGTGGTATGTAACAACATTATAATTATATTGTTTATTTGTGTAATTATTTATTAGAACAGCGCATAATTCTTCTGTAGAAGATTTATTTTAATGACATGAAAAGTGATAAGAATTTTTCATAAACAGACTAAGAACTTTTTAAAATTTCAAATATGTACAAAAATAAACAGAAGAGTACATAAATGAAGCCCTTTGAACTATCATGTAGATTCAGTAGTTTTCAATTTATGTATACATTCTTTCATGTATACCCTCGTCCACTCCTTTTCAGATTATTTTGAAGGAAATTTCATGTATTTCATTTGTCAATTTCAGTAGGCATCTCCAAAAGTTAAGGACTCTTAAAAACACAGTGCCATTATCAGAACAAAAAAATAACAAATAATATCCAGTTATTCAGTCTGTTTGAATTTCTAATTGTCCCAAAAAAATGTCAAGTATGTGTGTTTTGTATTTTGAGGAGTCAGGATCAAATAAGGTCCATGCATTGCAATTGGTTGATCTGTTTTTTTAGTCTTTTTTAATCTGTAGACTCTGTTTTGTCCCCTTGGAATTTATTTGTTGATTACAGCCCTAAATATTGGCAGTTGTATCTAGAAGCTTGGTCAGATTCAAGCTTTTTTGTTTTGTTCACTTGTTTGTTTATTTTTCTAAGACAACTTCATCAGTGGTGGTATATTTTTCCAGTAGGAGACATGAACTATCTTAGTGATGTTAGTAGCTATTAATGCCTCGATGCCTAGATCAAGTTATTCATTTGGAGCTTATAAAATGATGATAGTGTAATTCTGTCATTTCCTTTATTATGTGGAATACATGTATAAAGAGAAGCTTCCCCCAGGTCTTCTGTTTGGTTTTCCAAAGATGCAATTTATGTTGGAAAGGCAAGATAAATGTCTAATTTTTTCCCTTTTATTGACCAATTTTCAGAATAACAAGTTGGGTTCCTAGCTTTCTCCAAGATGATTCATTAATTTGGGGGAATAGGGTATCATTATGATCTCATTAATTTTAATGTTAAACACTTAAGTTTACATCTATTGCTGTTGTTATCCTTATCAATGCTTACATTATTCCATCTCTGGTCAGCTAGAATGCTCTATAAGTTGGTGTCTTAGTCTTTTTGACAAACTCATTTTGTAATTTAAAGTTTTCTTGCTTTCTTATATGACAAGATGTTTCGTGCTTATGTTACATATTTCCTTCTCCAGATCTAGAATCAGCTATTTCTCTAAGAAACCCTTTTAGAGAGAAGTGAATTTCAATGCCTTAGTCTGGGCACTAGGGGTACTCGTTAATGAGTTGGTCATAAACATTTTGTTCTGATATTATGCACAACTTAAAAAGCCTAGGTGGGTTTTTAAATTTTTCATTATTTTGTTTGAAAACTGCTCTTTACTTTTTGTTGCATTCAAATGTAAAAACGAGTTAGATATAATTTTAAAAGGTGTCAAAAACTTGCCCCATCTGTTTTGAGTTGTAGGAGGAAGATAAAGTCACGTATCTTTTTGGTATCATCATTATAAAATACCTGAAATGCAAACATTTCTTATTAAAAAAAATTGACAAGGAAAACTCAATTGTACATAGGCCACTACTCTTATCAACACGATAAAGAAACTATCATGTTTAAAATAAGGTCTATTATATGGATTGTTAATTTTCTCTTATAGTTATTTAACTGAAGGGTATATATGATTTAAGTATTTTTTTCTTTTTGGGGGCTTTTATTAGGGTGTTCTACTGCATGAAGCAATGGCCTGAAATAATTGATTTTGAAAGGATAGCTAGAGAAACAATCTCATTGAGAAGTACGCTTAAATATGCACAATTAAACAGATAATATTCACATCTTTTTGTATTATTTTTTTAAGGATCCTTTAGGGAAAAGACCCAATCCTCCCCCTGTTTCTGTGCCTTACTTGAGTCCTCTAGTGCTTCGTAAAGAACTTGAATCTTTGCTAGAAAATGAAGGTGATCAGGTGATTCACACATCCTCTTTCATCAATCAACATCCAATCATTTTCTGGAACCTCGTATGGTATTTCAGACGTTTGGACCTTCCCAGTAATTTGCCAGGACTTATCCTCACATCTGAACATTGCAATGGAGGTATACAGGTAGGGTACCAATTTCTATATTTATATTACATTGATGTTGGTTAAGGTGAGGCTTAACTTCAAGTAATAGAAAGTATACAACAATAGTGGTTTAACAAGACCTAGGTTATTTCTCTAACTTAAACTTTTGGGTAGGTGGTCCAGGGATGATAGAGTGTTAGGGACCTGAGATGCTTCTGTCTTTTTGCTCAGCTGCACATGACCTCCATTTCCAAGTTCTATACTTGGTTCAGGATGACTGACACTACTTCTAACCTATCATCCACATTCCAGCTAGCGGTACGGAGAAAAATGGATGAAGAGTATGTCTTTATTTGGGGACAGTTCCTGGAGTTGCACATATTTCCATATGCATCCATTTGGCCAGAACTTAGTTATACCATCATTTCTAGTTGCAAGGGTGGCTAGAAAAGGTAACTTTTTTTCTGAACTGTCATATTCCCCGCTAAAATTCTCTTAATGACTGCATTTTGAAGGACTCATCCATATTTTTCAGATGATACAATTATAAGTTAGAGAAGTTAAGTAATTTTGACAAGATCATATACCTACTAAGGGATAGAGAGACAAGGTGCACAGTCTGGCTGTGTCTGATGCTAAAGCTTCTTCTTTGTTTCAATGGAGCCCCTGATCCCACTGGAGACAGTGAGCTCCCAGAATTCCTTTATTTTATATTGAATATTGAGAAACACTCCTCACCCCAAACATACACTAGGGACAGAATACTATCTTTAAGCATTTATTACAAACTCTTATTTTGACTCATTTATTTTAAGTAGTAGTCAGTACAACAAGGTAGTAGAAACGATTGCACTTTGTCTTACCTTAAAATTTGTTTTGATGGCACTTAATCTTTCATGTAGCCACTGTGTTAGTTACCAAGTTGTAATTCCAATCCTTAAAATTTAGAATGAAAAACCTGCACTTCAGAAAATAATATTAATAATAATAAATGTTATTATCATCAGGTCTAAATAAAAATTAAAATTTTTGCTCAGAATTTTAGGTCTAGAAGTTTGAAAGAACTCATCTGTTTTATATAATCAAGCTTTGCTAGGTCCACTGATAATTATTGTGCTTGAGGTACTAATACTGTTTATTGATCTCTCTTAGCTTCCTCTGTCATCCCTGTCCCAGGATAGCAAACTTGTGTATATTCAGCTGTTATGGGATAATATCAACCTTCATCAGGAACCAGGAGAACCTTTGTATGTCTCATGGAGGAATTTTAGTAAGTAAAATAGAATTAAAGACATACAGATTGAAACTGAGAACAACCCAAATATTTATCCACAGGTGAATGGATAAGCAAATTGTAGTACAAGCTGTCCATGCAGTAGAATGTTTAGCAATAATGAAGAATGGACTACTGGGGGAGGGTGGAAACTAGAATTAAGGAGAAGAGAGAAAGAAAATTTTTTGCATTATTTAAAAATTTTTAATTTGTTTTTAGTATCTCTTCAAGATTTTTTTCCATTTTTCAAATTCATTTGCTATTGTATTGCCCTATTTATGTCAAATCTCCATGTGAGTTGAATTTTTTTGTGTGTGATTTTTCTGTCAAATACCAATTTGGTTGGGTAGTTGGAGAGTAAATACTATATAGTGAAAGAATAATTTGGGTGTGTTGTTATAAGATCATAATTTCAATTATATGGAGACTAGTATAAAAAATTCTGGCTTCATTTTTGTCTTTTATATTTAGAAAATACTTTTACATGGGGTTTAAAGGGTTATCATCCAGTTCAAAAGCCCTTGAATCAATAAGAAACCACAAACAACCAAGTAGATAATTGAGCAAATGATATCAGTAGGCAATTCTTGGAAGAAACATTAAATGGCTTATACAAACTGTATTAGTTTGCTAGAACTACCATAAGAATACCACAGACTGGGTGGCTTAAAAACCAGAAATTTATTTCTCACATGCTACAGACTGGAAGTCCAAGATCAAGGTTTTGGCAGGTGTGTCTTCTCCTGAGACCTCTCTCCTTAGCTTCCAGATGGCCTTTCGCCTGTGTGTGCCTACATTTCCCTGATGTCCTTTTCTTATAAGGATACTGGTCATATTGGATTAGGGCTCCACACTTATGACCTCATTTAAACTGAATTACCTCTTTAAAGACCCCATCCAAATATTGAGGATTAGAGCTTCAACATATGAATTTTGGTGGGACATAATTCAATCCATTATACAAACATGAAAAAAATGCTCAATTTCATTATTATTTAGTGAAACATAACTTAAAAAAAAGAAAATATAAGCTTAGACACATCAGGATGGCAAAATTTTTAATGATGAATAATATCCAGTTGTTGAGGATATGGAGTAAAAGAATACTTTGATGTACTGTTAGAAATGTGAAATGATACAGTTCTGGAGAACAGTATGGCAAAAATCCCAATTTAATCTGTGGATACCCTTTAATTTAGTAATCACAGTAAGACAACTCTCTTCTATAGAAATACAGCATGCAAAGCTGTCTGTACAGTGATTGTTTATAATGATGAAAAACTTTTAAATAAATACCTAATAGGAGAATTGTGATAAATCCACAGTCTGAAATGTTGGCAGCCAGAAAGAAGAATGAGAGTCCTTTGTGTGTGGTTGTGTGAAAGGATACATGCCTGTTATTATACTGAGTGGAAAAAAGCAGGTTGCAGAACAGTGTATAATCTTTTCCCCTTTTTTATAGAAAAACAAAACCAATAAATAAATATGTATGTATGTGTGTGTTTTTAATATATACATAGAAAAAGGTCTAAAACCATATATCCCAAGCTGTTAACTTTTCTATTCAGAAAAGAAAGGGAAAAATTCACTGTTTATTTTTTTTTTACTGTTTTGTACTTTTCAACACTCTATCACTACTTTGCAATTTTTTGAACTTAAAACTGGAAGAAAAAAACCCAGTGTTTTCCCTTGAAATATGCTCGTCACATAATTATGGTAAAATATATTAAGTTGTTCTTGTCTTTTTGTTGTTTTTGCTCCATTTCTCATATTTGAATGGTTTTTAGGCAGGAGCAGAGTAACTGAAATTAATTCCAGAAAAGAATAGAATTAAGAGTTGCCATTTCTTTAGTTCTTTTCCTGCATCTCTTGTGTTTTGTGAAAGGGCTGTGTATGCAAAGCTGCCCCCAAATGTTGAAGGAGCTGAGAGGGCAAAAAAACAACGCAGGCAAGTCCAGCTTGTTAGTTTCATAGGGAATTTGCTTACAGAAAGCAGTCCTGGTGGCAGCAGGGTAGAACAGGCATCCCTCCACCATTCAGCCCCAGACCACCAGTTTTATATCCTCCTAAGATGTGGACCTATGTACTCTGAAAGGAATGGCAAGGGTGATCAAGTGGGGCACAAAGGGACCAGATACCAGGGCTCTGGTGCTATGGTGAGTTAAAAGATAGGTAACACTGAGGGCGCCTTGCTCCAGAATAGGCCCCAATGTTGGAGAAATAATTAATGATAGTTTGTGATTAATCCAAAGTCGCTGTGCACATTGCAGAGTCTATCTGGGGGAACAGGAAGAGAAGGGACAGGGGTTCTCGCAGATTAGTTTTAGAATGGAGTCAGATTTTTCAGATGAAATCAGCTCTGTCCACATATTTTGAAATAGACATGTGTTTCAAAATATTGTGTAATTTTTGGTAGGATAAAATTTAGAGCTCTCCAGAATGGCCTTGTTTCTTTACTTGATTGGCTGCTTTAAATGTAGAATTGGCATATAATATTAAAAGACATACAAGAATTAAGTAAGTGATGACTTCTGAAATGGCAGTGAGGAGCTCCGTGACCCACTTCCCAGCAAAACAACCATAATTGGTGAAAATTATTAAAGGGAAGAAAATGTCTAAGCCTATAGGAAATGAAGAAATGTTTATTCAAGAAAATATACTAAATTTCGGTAAAAGTAGTGAGTTTTTGTGCCACGTAAGCTACAACTTGCTGTTCCCCCCAGCTCCCAGTCAAAGGCCTCAGCGTCTCCCTGGAAAGACAGGCCTCCAGCTGTTCTCATCCTCTCAGCTCTGTTATCACAGAGGCACAGTTCCAGGGGAGCTGGAAGCTCATTTCCTCTACCCAGCCCCCCATTCACTGAGCAATCATTCTACCCCAGTTTTGGCAAGCCAAGAATGCTGGGGTCCCAATTCTTCTCACTGTGTCTTGCTCACAGGGCAGAGGTTTTACACCAAGTGAGGCAAGCTGTAAAGACAGAGGCTGCTGCTCCCACCCAACACTATTTACAAACTAGGAGTGTCATTCCAAGAGAAGGGCCACTGTTCTGAGCGCCTAGCTTCAGAGCAGTGGCTTAGAGGTTTTGCCCAGGAGGAACGACAGATCATAAGAACGGAGAGCTCTGAAATTGTCTTCAAAGGAAATGACTGTATTTAGAACAGAGCATGGAAAAGTTTAAGCCTGAGCACACCCTTGGAAACAGTAGATATTTTGGTTAGAAAGCCTTGATACAAAAACCAAAGACATCCATAAGGAAAGAAGACTGAAAATCTGTATCATTTATGAATATGGACATAGAAATCCTTAACAAAATACTAGCAAATCATGTAATAGATATGTATGATATTGGGGGGAAATGGGGTGGCAGATTGGGGGAGGGGTGTTGTCACTTCAAGGGGTAAAAAGTATAACTATTGCACTGTGTTGTACAGCTGAAACTAATTCTAAAAAATGTGTATTTCATAATAAACAATAATTTAATAAAAAAGAAATACTAGCAAATCAAAACCAACAATATAGAAAAAAGATTGTTCAACCATGACCAAATGCAGTTTATCCCAGGCATGCCATGTTGGTTTAACATTTGAAAATCAATTAGTGTAATACTAATTATCAATATAATAAAGGACAAAATCCATATGATCTTCTCAGTGGGCATGGCTAAAGCTTTTGATGAAATGCATCACCTTTTGTTAAAAATACTCAAGTAGAAATAGAGAGGAACTTCCTCAACTTTATTATGAGCATCTATAAAAACCCACAGTTGACATCACACTTAATGGTGAAAGACTGAATACTTGCCCCCTAAGTACAGGTACAAGACACGTATGTCTCTTTTTATCATTTCTGTTCATCAATGTACTGGAGGTTCCTGCTACAGCAATTAGGCAAGAAAATAAAAGGCATCCAAATTGGAAAGGAAGAAGTAAAACTATGTGTAGTTATGTGATCTTAATGTAGAAAATCCTAAGGAATACACACAAACACAAAACATGGAACTAATGTAAGTTCAGCAAAGTTGCAGGATATAAGATCAATATGCAGAAATCAACTGTATTTCTATACACTTTCAATGAATAATCCAAAAATTAAATTAGGAAAATAATTCCATTTATAATAGCATTAAAAAGAATAAAATTCATGCCGGCCAAGTGGCTCAGTTGGTTGAGTGTGAGCTCTGAACAGCAGGGTCGACGGTTCGATTCCCACATGGGCCAGTGACGCTGCACCTAAGCTGAGCTTCCCCGGAGCTGCCAACAGGTGGCAGGATGACTCAGCTGGTGCGAGCATGTGCTCCTAACAACAAGGTTGCCAGTTTGACTCCCACACGGGATGGTGGGCGACACCCACCCACAACTAAGATTGAACACAGCACCTTGAACTGAGTGGCTGTGAGCTGCTGATGGGTGACCTGATGGCAATTGGACTTGGAGCTGAGCTAGCTGTGCCCTCCACAACTTAAGATTGAAGGACAAAAACTTCGCTACTCCCCTTCCCCAATTGCCCAACACTGTTCCCCTTCCCCAATTGCCTAATAAAATTTTTTAAAAAATAAATAAAATTCATAGGGATCAATTTGATAAAAGAAGTACAAGATTTATACTCTGAAAACTAAAATCATTGTTGAAAGAAATTAAGGCTAAATAAATAGAAAGAAATCCCATGTTTATGAATTGAGTTAATATTGTTAAGATGGCAATACTCCCAAATTGATAGACAGATTCAGCAAAATCCCTATCAAAATTCCAGGTGGTTTTTTACAGAAATTGACAAGCCTTCCTAAAAATCATATAGATACCAAAGGACCCAGAATAGCCAAAGCAATCTTGAAAAAGAAGAACCAAGTTGTAGGACTCATACTTCTCAATTTGAAAACAGTACAAAGTTACACTAATTAAGAAAGTGGGATACTGCATAGGGACGGACATGTAGATAGGTCAGTGGAATAGAGTTGAGTTTCCAGAAATAAACCCTTATGTGTATAGTGAGTTGTTCAGCAATAGTCCCTAGACCATTCAGTGAGTAAAGCATAATCTTTTTGAATATGGTGCTGGGAAAACTGGAGCAATATGCAAAAAGAAAAAAGTGTGATTGCTTTTTCAAATCATGCATAAAAATGAACTCCAAATGGATAATAGACCCAAATGTAAGAACTAAAACTGTAGCACTCTTCAAAGAAAACATAGGAGTAAATCTTCATGACCTTGTATATGACAAAATCTTAGATATACCACCACCAAAAGCACAAGAACAAAAGAAAAAAAAATAAATTGGACTTCATCAAAATAAAAAACTTCTGTGCTAAAAAAGAAACCATCAAAAAAGTGAAATGTCAACCTACAGGATAGACTAGGGGAAGATATTTGCAAGTAATATATCTTAAAATGAATTTGTACTGAGAGTATGTAAAGAACTCTTAAAACTCAATAATAAAAGACAACCAACTTAAAAAATGGGCAAAGGATCTTAGTCCTTTCATGCTGCTATAACAAAATACTACAGACTGGGTAGCTCATAAACAGTTCTGGAGGCTGAAAGTCCAAAATAAGTGTGCTCGCATGGTCAGTTGAGGACCCACTTCAGGATTTCAGACTTCTCATTATATCCGCATATGGCAGAAAGGGTGAAGGATCTCCTTGATGCCTTTTTTTTAAAGGGCACTAACCATTCATAATGACTCTTTCCTCATGACCTTATTCTCAAAGGCTCACCTAATATGTTGGGCATTATGTTTTCAACATATGCATTTTGGGGAGACACAAACATTCAGAACATAGCAGGATCTGAATACACAGTTCTCCAAAGAAGATGGACAAATGGCCAAAAGCAAATGAAAAGATGCTCAATATCCCTAGATATCAAGGGCCTACAAATCAAAACCACTAAGAGATAGCATTCACACTCATTAGATTGGCTGTAATCAAAAGGACAGATACTAACAAGTGGTGAGATTATAAAGAAATTGAAACTCTCATACATTGCTGATGGGAATAAAAAATAGTGCAGCTGCTCTGGAAAGTGGTTTCACAGTTCCTCAAAATAAAGTTACCATATAACACAGCACTTGTTCTCTTAGGTGTATGCCCAAGCAAAAACATACGTCCACATAAAAACTCACACACTGTTCTTCACAACGTTTTTCTTAATAGCCAAACAGTGGAAACAACCTAAATGTCCATTGACTGATGAATGGATAGAGTATGGTATATCCATACAATGGAATATTATTTGGCAAAAAAAAGTAATGAATACTGGTACATTATACAACATGGATGAATTTTATTTTTATTTTTTTTTAAAGATTTTTATTGGGGAATTGGGGGGATGGGAACAGCTCTGGGGAATTGGGGGAAGGGGAACAGACAAGTTGCTGTCGTTTTGTTCTTCAGTCTAGTTGTGGAGGACGTTGCTTCACTGGCCCAAGTTGGCACCATTATTGCGCTCTTCCCAGGCGAGGCAGATCAATCGCTGGCTTCTGGACGGCCACTCATGGCAGCAGCTGGCCTCTCCCGCTGACTGCTGGCTACACACGATAGCCATGGCAACCCACTGCCACAGGGGCTGCAGCCTATGCCTCATGGCAGCCCAGCTCTAGGTTGAGCTGTTGTTCAGCATCTTAGCTGTGGAGGGCAGTGTCACTGGCCCTCATATGTGGGATCCGAACTGGGGCCCTCTGGCGTCCCAAGCCAGTTCTTAACCATTGCACCACTTGGCCGGCCCTGGATGAATTTTAAAACATTATAGAAGAAGCCAGTCACTAAAGAGCACAGAAAATGTGATTCTATTTATATGAAATATCTAGAATAGGCAAATCTATGGAGATGGAAAGTAGATTAGAGGTTGCCTAGGGCTGAGGGGTTGGGACGATAGAGGAGTGACTGCTAATAGGTAGGTGTCTTTTGGTGGTGATAAAAATGTCCTAAAGTTGATTGTGGTGATGGCTGCTCAACTCAGAGAATATACTAAAAACCATTGAATTGTACAGTTTAAATGGGTGAATTGAATGGTTTGGGAATTATATCTCAATAAAGGGGTTATTTTTAAAAATTGGATGAAAGGAGAAGCAGTGAAGTTGTATATTGTATTTGGGTTAGGCTCTAAAATCACAACATAGCATGAAAAACAAATCTATTCCAAGGTAATTTAGCAGGTAGAAGAACTAGGATCAGCTAGTATTTCCTCCTAGAGAATTTTTCTATTTCTTTGGTTGAACACAAATGAAGTATTTATTAGTTGGCCTTTATTAAGGGGCTGTGTTGTATGACAAATACAGCAGCTTGCTTTATGACAGGCACTTAGAATGAGGCTGACTGGGAGTTATTGGATACATAGTCCCATCTCAGCTAATTGGTTATAAACAAAATTGTATGGCTGCTGGATTACCTACAGCATTAAACTTTTCCCTTTTTCTGGGCCAAGCACACATTGTTGATTTTGTATATTTTTAATGTTGGTGTGATTCAATACCAGTATACCACTGAAGCACTTTTGTAATCTATGAAATCTGTATAGCTGTTTTATTCTTCATTCTAGGATTAGCCTTGTATCAGGGTTATACTCTGCTATATTTACTAGAAAATAACAAGCTTAAACACAAAGATTATTCTCTCACATAAGAAGGTATGAAGTAGACACTCCAGGACTGGTAGGTAACTCCTGTCATTAGGGACCCAGGCTCCTTTGTTGTATCTGCTTTTCTATTTTTTTTTTTTTTTTAGCCCAACCGTCATACTTAATATAATAAAACCCGCATTATAAAATCATTAGTGTAAATGCAAATAAGGTCTTTTCTATTTTTTTTTTTTTTTTAGCTGAGCCATCCTGCCACCTGTTGGCAGCTCAGCGGCAGCTCAGCTCAGGCCCATGTGGGAACTGAACCGGTGACCCTGTTTGTTGCTCAGAGCTCGCACTCTTGAGCAAGCTTTTAACCAACTGAACCACTCGGCTGGTCCTTGTGTCTGCTTTTCCATCAGTAAAGGTTGCTTCATGGTCACAAGAGGGCTGGTGGAGTACAAGTTATTACATACCAGCCTCAGGCAGGAAGCCCTAAGTTCAGGGAAATGGCAGAGAGACAGGTCTCCTATCTGAAGAAAGCAGGAAAAATATTTTTTAGCTGGTCATATTGCCACATAATTTTACTAGTAAGGGGGAGGCAATGTTGAATAGAAAATGCTACGACTCTGGAAAAAGACTTAATAATTAGAGTGGATGAATGTATTCTTAATTTACTGTGTTCTTATTACTAGATTCTGAAAAGAAATTGTCTCTCCTGTCAGAGGAACAACAAGAAACAAGCACTTTAGTAGAAACCATCAGGCAGAGTATTCAACATAATGATGTTCTTAAACCCATCAACCTGCTTTTACAGCAAATGAAGCCGGACAAGAAAAGACAAAGGTAATAATCCTGTATTTGTCACTCAAAATAATGTTTAAAAAAATGTTTTTTAAATATCTCTAGTTGTAAAAGAAACATATGGTGGAACATCAGTTGTAGAAAGTGCTTGCTATCAAAATGTACACATTCATATTTGAGCACAAACATAATGAAGTGTCTGGAGGTGATAGATTAAATTTTAGGAGGTAATTCATTCATGTCTAAAGCGTACTGAATGTTTGGGGAACATTATTGCTATTCACTGGAAACCCTCTATGAATTAGTTAACATTGGTGTTATACATATGTACTGTTTGTTCAGGCCATCATACTCACACACCTTTACTTGTGGGACATAAAAAAAAAGGGGGGGGGGTTAGGAATAAAAACAATTTAGGAAAGTGATGAAAGCAATAAACGTATATGGAGCTTTCCTGATCCTCTTACTGTTGTCTGCTAACATGCTTGGATCAGCACTGACCAGTGTCAGCATAATTGAATTTTGCAGTGAGAGCTTCAGAAAAGCCTAATTAAGAATTGATCATGAAAATGGATAGATTGTCTTGAAAACGCAACAGTTGAGATAGAGATGACCTCCTTCAGTCTAAAGAGCTGCTAGTTTCCAACCATCTGTAAAGGCAGGGAAGGATATTAGAAATGACGTGTTACTGCTTCTAAAGAAAAGCTACATGGAGTGTGATCAGAATCAGTATTGCTGTCTAATTTTTTGTTCTGTGTAAATACTAAAAAACCAGTTCATTTCTTAAGTTGCCCCCTCATTGTCAACAACAGAGCCATGAAGCTCTTTTTTTTTTTGAAGATTTTTATTGGGGAATTGGGGGAGGGAACAGTGCTGGGGAATTGGGGGAAGGGGGACAGACAAGTTGCTGTCGTTTTGTTCTTCAGTCTAGTTGTGGAGGACGTTGCTTCACTGGCCCAAGTTGGCACCATCATTGAGCTCTTCCCGGGTGAGGCAGATCAGTCACCGGTTTCTGGATGGCCGCTCATCGTGGCTGCTGGCCGCTTACGCCGGCTTCCAGCCACTCACGGTAGCCCATGGCAGCCCACTGCAGCAGGGGCTGCAGCCTACGCTGTCCTTTGGCAACTCGCGGCACCCCAGCTCCAGGTTGAGCTGTTTGTTGTTTAGCATTTTAGCTGTAGAGGGCAGTGTCACTGGCCCTCATATGTGGGATCCGTACTGGGACCCTCTGGCATCCCAAGCCAGCTCTTAAATAGCGCCACTCGGCCAGCCCAGGAGTTGTATTTTTAAAAACTATAATCAAGGTAAAATGAGCCATTTTGAATTGTTTTTGGTGTGAAACTTGATGCCTATTAACTTTTTAATTTGAAATACTCGAAGTTGCAAAACTAGTTCAGAGTTCAGTGTACCCTTCACCCAGGTTCCCCCAAGGGTGACATCTCATGTACTAGTACAATATCAAAACCAGGACAGAGGTACATTACTGCTAACTAGACCACAGATCTTTTCTTTTTTACAATTTCCAAAAAGCTTCATGTATTTTTATGCTCTTCGCCCATTAACTTTAAAATATTTGTTTTATAGGAGTTTATACAGAGAAATCCTCTTCTTATCATTAGTATCTCTTGGAAGAGAGAATATTGATATTGGTAAGTTGGTTAACTAGGGGTTACTAAAGGTTTTATTTTCTTAAGTAATTTTAAAAATTGTAACTGGTATGGGTAAATTGCCTTTAGAAAAGATTTTTACTTTTGAATGTGCAATTTAAATATGTCTATGTGATTTGACTACCAATTTTTAAATACATGGCTTTTAACGAATTCCAACTGCATTTTTGAAAATGTCTTTCAGAGGCTTTTGATAATGAATATGGAACTGCATACAATCGTCTGTCTCCAGAGATCCTTGAAAAGGTGCAGAAAATCGATGTCCCACCAAGTATCAGTGTGGAGTGGTGCAGGAAGTGTTTCGGAGCGCCTCTCATTTAAACAGATTCACTAGATTTCTGACACAAAGCTGGGGAATAGATTCAGTCTGGATACATTCAGGGTGTGTTCCAAATGCCAAGAATTGGTGAACACTGAAATGAAGTAACTCTTGGGATAATATATAATGAAATGTAATTCATACTGAATCATCTCACAATGTAAAAAGACATTAAAATGCCCCAGGTTTATTGTTGAAAATTTACAACCTCTGCTGAAAACTGTTTGGACTTCTCAGTATTTGTAGCTTGATGAGAAACCATATTCATCCTTGGCCTTTTGTTTCTATTTGAAGCTATAGGGTTTGGGGAATGGCAAATTTATGTAAACTTGTACAACCCCGTAACAAATGAAATATCTCAGTTTTATAAGAGCAGCTCTTTGTGTATGTGTATATATGTATGGCTGTGTAGGTATGTATATATACAGCCATATTATATTTATTAAGTTTTAGATTGCGTGTTGCAGTTTTCTGAAAGGGGTCTGTTAAATGGCTACCACTAAAACTCACCTGTAGTCATTAATCTCAAAATTACCTGAAAGTCTGTTAACTGCCTTGCCTCTGACTTTAAATTTAATATATTTCTTCACCCTTCAAATTGTGTATTATCTCCCTTAATGGATTGTATATTGAATATCCAGTTACTTCCTTCCATCTTCCCAATAACCACGTTAATATGCAACAGCTTTAAAATTGGAATGAGCCAGATAGTTTAAATGAAATTTAGATCAGCTTCATACATCACAAATCGAAACATGCCTCAACTGCTTGTATATATTGTCTTTGGACCTGAGATTGTTCAGGCACAGTAGTAACTGGTTGCTATTGGTCACTTTTAAAAACCTGTGGGATGGATAAACTTGCACTGCAGTTCTATTCTTGTATAATAGATTTGTATGCTCATTTGTGCATTTGTAAATAGTTTTTTTAGGATGAATCAAGTCTTAAAAATGAAGCTTGTTTGTTGCCAGTATGTTTAAGAAAATCATGACCTTCCATACCTGGCATTTATCATGCCTTTTGTTAAAAATGTCCCTTAAGAACAATAAGATTGCCTTAACTCTGCACTGCTTAAAAAGCCAGTGGTTGTGCGCTTTTATAGCAATTATACATGACTAAATGAGTTGATACAAAAATTACTTGCAGGTAGTTAACAGCATACTTGGTGTAATCTTTTACATGTTGTTCCTGTACCAAGTCTTCCAACATTTCAGGGTTAATCTGACCTCTGCAGAACTCGTTTCAATTTATTGTGAAAGTGCTTAGTGGAAGAAATTGTCTGAAATTATGTTCAATTCTTATTACCTTAAAAATGGATCTTTTGCACTGTGTCTCAGTAATTTTTTTTCAAGACTTGGTACTAGTTTTAATGCTTAATAACTTCTTGTCCCAACAGAAAGTTTGTAATACCCTTCCATATAAAAAAATTGATGTTGAAAGGAAAAAGTCCTTAAGTTTACTCTCTTGCCTGTTACATTTTTAAAGCTCCTAAAATGTATAATTAAAGCAAACCTTTGTGATCTTCTTACCAAAGCATGTCCCACTAAAACCAAAAAGAAAACAAAAACCCAATGTATAATGATCTTACACGTTGTGGGTTGACTACAGCATCCTGTATGGGTAATCTTAAATCTGCCTGAATTGAGTTAGAATAGTCTAGGTCAGTCTCATCTGTCCACTTTAGAGACTGCACTCAGAAAGCAGGGTGGTTCATATTTTGTGTATTAGAATCAACCATATACTGGCTAATACAGAATTCTGGGCTATTATATACACCAGAGTTGCCTTTTGGCCTTAAGTTAAACCTTATGACTATATGTCCTTTTTGTTTTGGATATCTTTAAAAATGCTACATTTTCCCTTTTTGCGTTTTAAGCTCAACTTTGATTTACAATGTCAATTGCCAATTGCGACTTCATGTTATGTAACTAATAACCATGTATTAAGAGCAATAGGGATCTTTTACTGTTGACTAAGAATCTTGGTTCTCACAGTATGGTCCAGGGACTGGCATCATTGGCCTCACATGGCAACTTATCTCTACATGCTAGAATTTGAAAATTTTACTCATCTGTGGTTAAAATATTTCGGCAAATAAGGAGCCCCCTTTCTTCACTGTTAAAGCCTAATGTGCCTTCTTTTTAAGACCTTCAAAGTCTGTAAAGGTTAGTTCTAGCTGCAGTTACCACAAAAATTAGAAATGGCACATTAGATAAAGTATACTACTTTCTCTTTGTGCATCCTTCATTGGTGTGTTTCTTAAATAGATCTGGTCAACTCCTGTTCAGAATGTGAAATAGAATAAAATCATGAACAAGTCACTGGAGTTGAAAAGTTGTCTGTTGGTAATGCAGTAAATTTGCACTGGTTTTTAAAACTTGGAGAACTGTTTCAAAATGGTATCCATTAACAGCTTTTAACAAGTTATCTTTTTTACATATGACAAATGTCCATCTTCGTAAGGACACTTTTCATGTACTGTGTATAGATCTTTAATAAAAACTGTATTCCTCAAAATAAAGTGTATAAAAGATTAATAGCCCTAGTCATTTTTTTTCCTGAAATTGTTCCAATCCTTGTGCTAAGCATCTTCCTGAGCTATCCAAATTCCAACAGAAACCCTGTCCTGGCCATCTCTTCCACTGCCATAGGATGGTCCCAGTCTGAATCAGGAGACTATCACTTCCAAGTATCCCTTACAGACTTTGTCCATCATTAGATTACTGTACACAATACCCCCTTTTCTGTGGCCTGTTTATGTAAGTTTTACCATCAATGAAAAGTTTACAGTAAAGGAGATGTTATGTTTGATCTTAAATTTATTTGTTACTCTTACAAAGTCTCATTTTTGACTGGACTCAGACTTAGAGGTAGAAGCTCTCAGAGAGGACAGCCTGCGTCTCTTGGCAATCTGTTCCTGGCGTTTCTCTTTGGCCTCCTAAACAAAACAAAAAAGCACAGTCAAAGCCTGTCTGCATTAGAAATGGAAACCGAAAACGGGGCCTGACTCCACACCTCCACTCCAATCATCTTAGACTGACCTTCATTCTCTTGGCCAAAAGTTTAGCATATTCTGCAGCCTCTTCCTTGTTTTTCTTAGTACGCTGTTTCTTCAGAGCGATACGCCGGCGTTTGTGCTGCAGGACGCGTGGAGTAACAAGACGCTGAATCTTGGGTGCTTTGGTCCTAGGTTTCTTACCT